CTATTTTATAATTTAATATGTCCATCACATGTTGGAATGGATGTACTAAATGTGTCCATCTGGCTGACAATCTTAACTGGGACTTATTTTTGATATAGGGCTTATATTATGAGCTTCCTAAAAATCATGCTTGTTGTTATTTTCCAACTAGGTCTTATTTTCAGAGAAATGCCATACTGGGATAATCATATGATTTTTGTCCTTGCTTCTGTTTATATGATGAATTGCATTCATTGATGTACATACGTTGAACCATTCTTATATTTCCAGGATGAAGCCTACTTGGTCATGGTGTATGATCTTTTTGATGATTTCTTGCATTTTGTTTCCACCATCTTGTTCGGGATTTTTGCATCTATGATCATTAAAGAAATTGGCATGTAGTTCTCTTTTTTGGTTAGATCCTTGCCTGTTTTTTTGGATCAGGATAATATTAGCTTCTGAGAATGATTTTGGAAGTATTCTTTCCCTCTCAATTTCATCAAAAAGTTTGAGGAGTATTGGTATTAAATCTTCCCTCAAGTTCTTGTAGAATTTAGCTGAGACTCCATGAGGTCTTGAGCTTTTCTTAGTTGAAAGTTGTTTTTTTTTTTTATTGCTGCATCAGTTCATTACCTTTTACTGGAATGTTCAAGGTTTTTAAATCTCCTTCGTTAGATTTGGGAATTCATATGTACTTAGGATCTCTCTATTTCTTTTGAGTTCTCCAGTTGTTTGGCATATATATTTGTGAAGTAATAGCTATTAATTTTCTGAATTTCCATTGTCCACTGTGATTTCATCTTTTCATTTCTAACTGAATTAATTTGTGTCCTTTCTTTCCTTTTTTGGTAAGATTGGCTAAGGGTTTGTGGATTTTGTTTATTCTTTCAAAGAACCAACTCTTTGATTCTTTGTATTGTTTTTTATTCTCTATTTCATGAATTTCTGCTCACTGTCTATAATTTCCTTCCCTATACAATTTCTGGGTTTGGGCTGTTCTTGTTTTTCTAAGATCTTGGGATGTATCATTAGGTTATTTATTTGGGCTCATTCTATTTTTCTGATGTGGACATTCACCACTATAAACTTCCCTCATAGGACTACTTTCACTGTGTCCCATAAGTTCTAGAAATGTTGCACTGGCATTATCATTTAATTGGAGGAACTGTCTTATTTCTTACTTAATTTCTTCTATGACATACTGACTTTTCAGGGGTGTGATTTTTAATTTCTATATGTTTCATTTCTGTGGTGTCTTCTGCTATTGATTTTGAACTTCATTTTACTGTGATCTGATTATATGCACAGTAAAATTTTACTTCTTTTGCATTTGCTTTGGCATGCTTTATTAGCTAATATGTGGCCAAAACAAATGTGTATTTTATTACTATTGGATGGAACACCCTGTATAGATCTTTCAAGTCCATTTGTTCAAAAGTCGATTTTTTTGTGTAGTTGATCTATTTGTGGTAATGAGATATTGAGATATCCTAATATAATTTTATTGATGTTTATCTGATCTTTTATGTCCATCGAGTTTATGAAGTAGGGTGCACAGTGGTTTTGTGCATATACATTTATAATTTTTATCTCTTGCTTTTGAGTAGTTCCATTAACCAATATGTAATGTCTTTCTGTGCCTCTTTGATCAGCTTTGGTTTGAAATCCACTTCATCTGAAAATAGGAAAGCTACTCTTGCTTGTTTTTGAGTTCTCATTGCCTGGAATATTATTTGCCATCCTTTGAAATTTTTGTTTATGAATTTCTTTTTATGTTAAATGTGTCTCTTGTATACAGCATAGTTAGATTTTGTTTCTTGATCCATTGTGCTAATTTAGTCTTTTGATTGGCAAGTTGAGTCCATTTACATTTATAATTATAATTGGTAAGTATTGACTTATTCCTGTCATCATATTAATATGTTATTGTTTTGCTTTCTTTCTCTTCTATTTAATTGGTAGTTCTACATGATGTATTCATTTTATTGGACCTTTTGGCATTGTTAGCTTCATTATCTCCTTCTAAGATATCCTTGAGAATTTTTTGAAGTGGGTTTGGTGGTCATGAATTTCTTTATTATAGAAGTATCTTATTTCTCCATCAATTTTGAAAGATAATTTTGCAGGATATAAGTATGGATTAGAAGTTGTTTTCTTTAAGAACTTGACAAACTGTCATCCTCTCCAAGCCTGTCTCCCAAGGCTATTTCTCACCCTGTCTGTCATTGTGGTAGGGCATCACTTCAGTGCTGAAGTGAAAATCTCTTGTGTGTTGATCTCTTTTTGATTATGTCAGTCTGGTGGTTGTAACTTCTGTTGTCTTGTGCTGTGGAGAACCCGGGATATGTGATGTTCATTTCTGGGTCCTCCTTGCTTGGCACAGGTCCTGGGTGGGTGTCAGCATTGGTTGGGGGCAGGGCACATAGTTCCCAGGTCCTCATGGATTGCCACATGGCTTGGGCAGGCTTCAGCACTGGCTCTTAATTCCATACCTTGACAATTGTGAATAGGGCTATAACAAACATAGGAGTGGAGGTGTCTTTTGAACATGTAAATTATAAGGACTTGAGCATCTATGCATTATTATTTCTGAAATTTGGGGGACAGGTGGTCTTGGGAACAGATGTTTGAAGATATTAAGGGATCATATGGGCTTTGTTTTATATAAACATGGTGTGTGAGGATAACTTTTTGGAATATATTATTTTAAAATTTTTTCTTAGTGGGATTATAAAAGTATGTTATAATATATCAATTTAATCAATATTTCTAAAAGTGTGCTTATTATTTTCCATGTAGAATAATGTTTTTGAAAACGTTCTTCAAAACATCATATTAAGAGTTATGTAGAGATACACAGCAATAATTTTTGTGACGCTCATATTTTTATATTTTAGGTACTCTGGGGTTTTAACGGATTTTAGCACTTGCAGCCTGGATAACTTTAAATTATTTGCATCACATTATGGTCTTCATTGTCTCAAGAACAATCCCCTTGATAAGCCAATTTATAAGCAGACAAATCCAAAGAAAATGTGTGGCAATTCAATAAGGGAAGAAGGTGAAGAATGTGATTGTGGCACTGCACTTGTTAGTAGAAATTTTCCTCAATTTCTTTTATGTGCATAAAATAGTAAGAAAAAAAGATACCAACTTTGTCTTTCAGTGAAATATATTTGAAAAAGACATTTTTATTTGGGAAAGTTACAAATCTTTAAGTCTCTTGATTTTATTTTTGCAAGTGAGTGCATAGGTTTATAAAATAATGTTTGTCTTCAAAAATTCTTTGTAGCATTATTTAGTGGAAATACGAGCTAAAAACGTAATGAGTGCCAAGACTGTCTCAGTCAATGCATATGGAAGGGGAACAAGGAAGGGGAAGAGGAAAAGGAAGGAAGAGACAAGGAAATAAGAGAATAGAATGGAAACAAGGTTTTTTAAATAAGGAGGGAACTAGGAGTTGGAGGGAGGGGAGGAAAGTGGGGAGAGAAGGAGAACCAAGATATATTGTACAGGTACAAATTCCCAATGATGAATGTGATCGCTATATATATATATATATATATATATATATGTATGTAAAATGTACCAATAAAATAAAGTCACCCAAAAAAAGAAAAAAAGGAAAAAAGTTTATGCAATATACTCTTCATAACCAGCAGTATAAAACAAAACAAAACAAAAAACCAACAACCAAATAAACAAACAAAAAACCACCAAAAATGTCCAGACAATGGACTATGTCCAACAGGACAGTAAAATGTGTTGTTTGCTAATGTATAGAGGAAAATTATTTTAACTACAAATGATACCAATTTAAAATATTCTAAAATGTAATATATCCCTTGTAGAAAATATAAAAGTAAGATCAAAATAGAAATGAAAGGTGATAAATGACCAAAGTGGCTACTGTACCCTGCCATTGAAACCAAAGATGCTGCTAGAGTGCATACTGTTCTCAGACCCAGTAGCCACTTCATCCCTGAGACCCTACCATCATTGATCTTTACTACATAGATGCAATAATACATATGATGTTTTCCTCCCCTGTGGGAAAAAGGTACCTAGGAGACACTCATCTCCCAATTCCAGTTGTTGCTTTGCCTTTCCACTGGCTCCTCAGAGTCTAGGCCCAGCAGAGTAGCAGTGCACCCAGGTTTCTGAGCTAATGGGGCATCTTTCTAGCCATAAATAGCCTTGTCTGAGTTGTGCCACCCTTTCCCATGTGCTGAACAGCCACATCTAGATACCTCCCAGCATCTGGATTAGCCTTCCAGAGTCTGAACTGCTTAGCTGTCTTTCTGCCCTGGGTAGTAAAGCCATCAGTGATCTGTACCCTGACTTCAGGAGCCCTAGCCATAGTTGAACCCTACCACTCCTCAGAACTTATACCGCATTCAACTTCAAAGAACCTGGGCCATGCCTGTTTCCCACCTCTTCAGGATCCAGAGTCTTCACTACATGGTACCTCTTTTCCTGGTGCCCAAGTTGCTATTCTGTCCTGTTGGCTCTAGGATTTGAAGTATAACTGTTTCTTCTCTGGTGCCTGAACCTCTGGAATACTGTTCTTCACTGGAGGCAGGCTGGTGCTCTTACCCCAAGGGTCAGTCACTGCTATGATACAAAGGTGTGCCCCAGAGCCACAGTCCTAGGAGGCCTGTATCTACTCATGCCTTACAGAGTAAACCTACACCCATGTCACAGGTATACAGTAGATTAGCAAGATACAGCGCAGGATCCCAGATCCACACTCTTGACAATCTTTGCTTTGGAAGACATGGCTATTGTGGCTTCCTGTGGGTTGTGTCAGACCTGGGATCAAGAGAGATCCCCTCAGTTAGGTCTCCTCACTACAGAAAAATGAGAACAGGACCCTTAAAGTCTTTACTACCAAGAGCCTTAAAAAGCTACTCTACCAACCTTGCTGCTACAAACGCCTACAGTGTAGGCTGCTGAAGTACATAATCATTACTGAAACTGATCACAGCTGAAGAAGCCAGACAGAGACAAATTCAGCAAAATAGCAAGATACAAATTCAACAGTAAGAAATCAATAACTTCTCTATACCCCAATAATAAACTAGCCGAGAAAGAAATCAAGACAACAATCCAATTCACAACACCTAAAAAACCCCCGAAACATCTCTAGAAATCAACCTAATCAAGGAAGTGAAAGACCTCTACAATGAAAATTCCAGAATATTGAAGAAAGAAAGTGATAATGACACAAAAAAATGGAAAAAATTGCGAATGTTCATGGATGAGCAGAATTAATATTGTTAAAATAGCCATATTACTAAACATGACCTACAGACTTGATGAAATCCCCATCAAGATACCAACAGAAACTAGAACTAGAAAAAAATAATCCTAAAATTCACATGGAAATACAAAAGACCTAGCCAAAGCAATCTTGAGGGAAAAGAAAAAGGCTAAAGGCTGATACCTAATTTTCAAAGGATAGTACAAAGCCTAGCAACAAAAGCAGCATGTTACTGACACAAAAATAGACACATAGATCAATCTTAAAACAGAAGATTACAAACTAGACTGTATAAAGAACTCAAAAAACTTAATGCCAAATAAAGCCCCCAAATAGTCGAACCAAAAGGGAAGAGAAAATCAATAGTATATTAAGATTCCATTTCCAGCCAGAGTGGCTTTCATAAAGAGGATAAACAATAAAAAAAACTGCTGGTGAGGATGTGGAGGTGAGGAGCCCTTCTGCACTGTTAGTGAGAATGTAAATTAATAAGCCATTATGGAAGGTTGGTCAAAAATCTAAAAAGTAGAATTACCATATGAACTTGCTGCCCCATTCCTTGGTATGTATCTGATGGGCTTAAAGTTAGCATGCTATGTGAAGGCTGCATTTACTGCAGTATAATTTACAGTGACATATGGGATCAGCCTAAGTGTCCATCCACAGATGAATAAACAAAATATGATATTAGCCAGGAAGAAGAAATTATATCATTTGCAGAAAAATGAATTGAAGTGGGAAATGTTAAGCAAAATAAGGCAGATTTAAAAATTCTCATGTTTTTCCCTAGTAGAGCAATCTAAAAAGACAAAAAACAAATATAAACAAAGATGATATAAAAGTAGGAGGAATACTATCATTGGGCAGAGTATAGGAATATAGGAAGGGAATGGGAGGGTGAAAGGGAGCATAATGGGATAAATATGATCAAAATATGTCATATGAGCCAGGTGTGGTGGCACACACTTGTAATTCTAGCAATTGGGAAGCTGAGGTGGGAGGATCATCTTGTTTGAGGGCAGTTTGGCTACTTTCAATGTCATCCTAGCTGCATAGAAAGACCTTGTCTCAAAGCAATTAAAAAATTAAAACTTTATATCAGAAAGATGAAGAATATTAAATAAAAAAGGAAGTGAGAAGTATTTAATATTTACCACTTTAAAAATATAAATAACTTAATTGAAAATAAATGTAATTTAATTTTTAAAAATTAACTAAATTTTTAATAATAGTTTTGTTAGAAACTAGTCTCCAAAATTCCTGAAAATTTAAAAATCATCCCTTGCATGCTAGAACAGGCCAGTTCCAGAACACCAAGGCACATGGCAATTCTAAATTTAAAATCATCCAAAGATAGCTTAAGTATTTGAAAGAAAATTTTACTGAGGAGAAAAACAGGAAAATTCATAATCATTGTCGGAGGTTTTGACTCATATGTGGCAATAAACACTAAAAAAAGAAAATTTAAAAAATATATACAGTATTTGAATAGCATAATTTTTAAATGACCTAATTAAAATACAGAAAACATCTCCCTAGAGCTACTGAATACACATTATTTTTAACTGCAAAACTTACAAAAATTATTCAGCTAATTCTGACAAATTTCAAATGATTAAAATTATGTAAGAAGACATTGTGTGTAAATTGATAACTTATCTGAAAACTGTGCAATGCATATACTAAATATCTTAGGAATTTATCCCAGTTTTGTCAGGTGGTCCTGGATTAAACCTTAGCCCTAAAAGTTACAAGAGATAACTTGGTTAAAATTTGTTATGTTTATTTATTTGCTTGTTTGTTTGATTTTTGAGATAGGGGCTTGACTTTAGTTCAGTCTTCCCTGAACTCACCGTGTAGCCCAGGCTGGCCTTGAACTTGTGGCAGTTTTCCTGCTTCAGGCTCCAGAGTGCTGGGATTAGAGTCATATGCCACCGTGCTAGGCAGAAATTTATTATATTTTAAAAGTAGCTATTTTTAACCACACAAGTAATATGTGAAGGTATGATTAGCATAAAAAATCTAATATTATAGATAATACCACAATTCCTGCTTGCGACCATTTTGAAGGTCCTTGGTGTTATTAGTTTGTTGTATATCTTCTGATGCCCTTATTCTATATTTATGAAGATGTGTTTATGGAAATATAGGGAATAATTTTATGATGAGATGTTGGGCATAAACTATATAATATCATATGCATTTTTCTGCAAATTGCTTTTATTCCTCAACAATATGCATCAAATATATTGTTTCTGTACAAAAAGGTACCTAGTACATTGCATAAAAGCTATAAATCAATAACATTAAGATAACTAGAATACCCCCAATATTTATAAAGTTTAAAAAAATCACTTCTAAATTACCTGTGGGCAAGAAAATTACTATGAAAATTAGATCAAAGATAATGAACCATTGTTCTCAAAAACAATTCTTTACTCATGAAGCTTCTATAAACTTCATGCCCAGAAATCTTGATATGCTCATTGTAAGAAAGGAACATTACAGGCCATAGGCACTCCTGAACCTAGATGCAGAAATCCTAATGGGATATTAGCAAGATAAATCTGGGCTTATTTCATGAGCGTAAGCTTGACTTAGTATTTGACAATAAGTCACTTCTATTCACTATGGTAAAATAAATTACAGAAGTAATATAATAGTTCCAATATATAAATTAAAATATTTCCAAAAATTGCACATTTTTTATAAATTATGTAGTGTATGTGGTGCTTGACAATAGAACTTTCTTCATGATGGCACTGTTCTGTGCTGCCCAATGCATGCTCCCCTGAGTCACATGTGGCTAGTGAACACTTGGAATGTATCTCATGTGACTGAGCAATTAAATTATTAATTTCATCTAAATCAGTTCATTTATATTTAAATAGCTACACATGGCTAGTAGTTACCTATTGGTGCAGTTCTGGAATCTAGTTTTTCATCTTTTCCAACAAAGTGAAGAAGAGGCATTGAGAAAAGGAGTAGGTACAGTAAACATTTGTGAATTTATGGACAATTGCTAAAGAGTTTTAAAGTTGGGATTTATATGTAAATAGATATGGTTGATAATATTTATTAAACAAAATGCAAATATAAATAATATAAAATGTAGAAGTGTTGAAAGAGAATGTATTTAATAAAGTACCCTAATTTCCTGTAGGTTATTCTTCAGTGTAGTATTATTGTTTATATCATATTGAATGTAGAGAAACATATTTTTTCTCCAAACTAAAGAATGAGATGTTGACTTCTGTAAGTCAAACACTGTACAGTATAAAAATAATGGGGTTACTGAAGCTGTGAATGCTGTGCCTATACTTTGTAAAGTCATGCACTGTGCTCTTTTTTTGATGTTACTCAATCAGATATGTTTAGCTAACACTTAGCTTTTCCTTATAGAATTGTACTCATGTAAGGTGCTGTGATCCTACATCATGTAAGAAGAAAGGCAGTGTAAAATGTGGCTCTGGAGAATGTTGTACAACAAATTGTCAGGTAAGAGACAATCTGTATTTGACTTAGCATTCAGTTTCTTGAAATATGTGTCAAGGAAAGCATAACAATACCCTATTCAGTCCTTTAGTGGAAAGGTGATTACATTGTAATTTAGTGATTACATTGTAATCATGCAGATTGGACCAATTCCATACTTTAGTTTATTCAGTAACCTATCATTTCTTATATTTTCATGTCCATAATGTCTGATACTTTTTTCTCATCTTGATTTACATATATATAGGCAATACAAATCTTCCTGTGTACTCTCTGAAATTTCTCTGTGATCAGCATATGCCTACAACATTTTTTTGCACTCATTTTCCTATTAGTATAACTTATATAGGGAAAGGGAGCAGATTAGCTGTTTTGTTGGTTAAATTCACCTTAATATCTTCTAGTAAAGTCCTTTTCTCCTTTGCAATTCATTTAATTATTTGTTTCAACCATTCATTTCCTCTTTATTAAAACCATCTTAAAGAAGTTTTAACTAATTTTCTGTACTCAGTATAATTTACTGGATCCTGAAAAAAAATCCTGAGCAAGGTAAACAGCAAACATCCATAGATTGGAGGAAGAATACACCTTTTAAAATTAAGTTTCTGTAAAATCCAGGAGGAATTTCAGGAAAACACCATTTTCTAAAAAATTGGAATATTTTCTTCTTTGAATTATTTTAAGAAAAAAATGGAACAAAATGAAATTGAAGGTGAATGAGACCACTGACAAATAAATTTTCAATTTAAATACAAGATCAGAACAACTTAGTGAACATCAGAATTTTTGTGGCTGAAACTAATTATTGATATGAAAAAATAAATAGAAGAGAAAGCCAAATGCATGGGTTAGAGCAGAGGGGAAAAAAGAGAGAAAAATAGATAGCAATGAAAATAGATTGTAAGCTTTTAAAAAATGAACATCAAAGAAATAGTTATTCTAGTTAATATAGCAGCTAAAAGTATCTATTCGTATTCTTGATATTAATGTACAGCAATAATATATAGATTAACTGAAAGAAAAAATGTGTACAGATCAAAATTTAGTGAAATTTGGATGAAATGAAAGGTTGGCATTAGATGTGTATTTTTAATTAGTATATGGCTTAAAATTATTAATTCTCTAACACAGGAAAGAACTTATCTCACACTGTGTAGCAGGGGGTATCAAGAGAACTAACATGTAAGAAAAACATTATACAAGATAATTTCAAATAATTAATTAATAATAATTAAACTTAAGTAGTGCATGAGGATTGTCTTCATGATGGGTGATGTGAACTAAACATAAACTAAAATTTTAAATGGTAGGAGGAAGAACTGATGTAGAAGCTTCAGGCAGTAAGTGAAGCAATAGAAAGGCCTTAAGACTGGGATATGCATAAAATAAGTAAAGTTGTCCATTTTGCTCTACTTTAATGATTGACAGGGAGGGAAATAGTGTACTATATCTATTTTATGTGACTCTCTAGAATTTTTTAGTCATATTTTTCTTTTTTCTTTGGTACCAGGGATGGAACTCAGGCCCTTGTGCTTGTGAGGCAGGCACGGTGCCACAGAGCTAAATCCCCGGCCCTTTAGTCATATTTTTCTGATCAGTGCTCTTGATATAAACACAAAAGAACACAGTTATCATTTATTACTAAAGTATAATTCTCTGCTAGAAATGTTAAATGAAATCATAGTTAGGTCTTAAGGTACATCCATTTTCATACAAACAACTCAAGTTTATCTTTCTTTCAAGCTACAGATTTTGCTATGCTATGATTTTGCTCTTATATACCTCAAAATATGATCTAATTTCCCTTTTGATTTATATTTATCCAATGTGTTATTTAGAAGTACATTTTTCTCTTTCTCTCTCCCTCTCTCTCTCCTCTCTCTCTCTTCCTCTCTCTCTCTCTCTTTCTTTTCTCTGGTACCAGGAATCGAGCTCAAGACCTTGCACTTGACAGGCATGGCACCACTGAGCTACATCCCTGGCCAGAAAAGTACATTCATTTTTAATCCATTCTAAAACATGAACAGCCACATGATATTGAGAAATGGGTAATTTTCAATATACAATACATAGTGTTTAAGTGGTCTTTCCAATATTTTTCCAAATTTAATTGTACTATTATGATTTGAATTTTTTAAAATTTGATGAGACATATTTTATGTCCCAACTTGACTATGTTAGGTCTATAATAGAAAAGAATGCAAATTCAGTTGGTGTTACTTAAATTTCAGGTCTACTTGATTTATAGTATTGTTTAATATCTACTACAAGTACTCCTACTATATTCTTGCTATATTTCTCCTCATTGTTTTATCAGTTACTGAAAAAGAAATACTGAAATTTCTAGCTATAGTGGTGAATTTACCTTTTTTCTTGCAGCTTTATCATTTTCTTGCTTCATTTATTTTGAAGGTCTCTTGTTAAATGACAAAATGTTCAGAATTATTACTTCTTTGTAGAAACAGATCCCTTAATAATTTTGAAATGAGTTTTCCATATCTACTAATGTTAATTGTTCTGAAATTTACTTTTTCTGATATTAAAATAACTGCTCCTGTTCTGACCTTTATTTTAAATGTTTGCAGTATGTAATGATTACAGGGGATTAGTACATGTACATTACACATTTCAATTATTTTCGCCCTCCCTCCAGCCCTTTTTTATTTTTCCAGCATCAGATTCATTTATTTATCTTATAAGACCTTTTAAAGTGAATTATCATATATACAGATTAAAAAACAGACTAAAAGGCCAAAAACTATATAAAACATGTAAGACAATTGTACTAAGTCAAGGTACAGTTTTAGATACATTGTCCAAGCTGGATTATAATTTTTCTCTTTCAATATTATCTGTCATACATATATAAAGGTTTTCACTAAGAGAAACCACGCAATACAAACTGTGTTTGTGTCTCCACTCTTAATTTTTAAAATTAGACCAAGCGTGGTATATCTTACACTATCATTTTATTTTCTCCCTCTCTAATTTCAACCTATGTCTTTATATTGAAAGAGTACTTCTTTTGAGCAGCGTATAATTGGATCTCACTTTAGATTCAATCTGGTAATCTATGCCTAGTTATTGGAGTATTTAGATGATTTACATTTGATATTACTAATATAGATAAATTGAAGTCTATCATTTTACTTTGTCCCGTTTATTTTGTTCCCTTTTCCTATCCTTTTGCCTTCTTTTTTAATAACCAAAACTTTTAAGTGATTCTATTTTATCTCCTATTTAACTTACTATATATAACTTTGTTGTTTTAGTTTTTGATTTAAAGGTCATATTAGACATCTTAACATATTACTTTCTACCTTCAGGTTATATCATATTATAGTATAGTGTAAGATTATACTTCCAGTATGGCGTAAGAACTTAAAATATTTTATTTCTTTCTTTACAATGTTGACACTATTATTATTTTGTGTTAAATGTTATCTTAATGATATTCATATTATATTATTATTTTTCTTTTTATTAGTACATGTTTGCAATACATAATGTTTACATTCCTTGTGAGGAGTTTATACATGTACCATAAATCTTAACTACTTAACACCTTACTTTTTAAAAATCCTTTTCCTCTCTCTTCTCTCCATCTGTTGCTCCTCTTCCTATTTGAGAAAGATCTATCCCCCTATTTCCTGTTATCTATTTTTAAAAGATTATAAATCAATTATCTTTTTATAAGATACTAAAATATTTATATATCCATGTAATTACCACTTGTATGTTCTTAATTGTTCTGTGTAGATGCATATTTCTATCTGATATTATTGTCCTCTCCTTGAAACTTTTACTATATGTGTAGTTTAGCCCTGCAGTTGATGAATTTGGGTGACTTTTGGTTGTCTAAAATGTCTTTATTTTTATTTTGTTTTTGAAAGATACTTTCTCATAAGGTTTGAAGTTGACCATTTTATCTTTGGTACATTAATTTTACTCTCCTACCTTGTTTGCTTGAATTATTTTCAATGATAATCTACAATTAACCTTATTTTTGTTCTTTTGTACATAAAGTGTCTTTTTTTTCTGCTGGATGTGTTAAGATTGCTGTCTTAATGACTGATTTTGAAAAATGTCATTATAATGTATCTTGATATTGTTTTCTTTATGTTTCTTGTGCTTGGGATTTTAACTTCTTGAATTTGTAGTTTTCTTCACATTTGGAGAAATTTCAACCATTTTGTCTTCAAATATATTTTCTATATTTATATTTACCTTCTCTCCTTGAGAACACACATACACATGCAAACACACACATATGAAATGATCTAACAGATAACTGATGATCCATTAATTACTTTTAAAATTTGGCTGTTTCATTTTAAATAGTTTCAACTGCTATATCTTCAAGTTCTTTTGTATTTTCTCTGTGGTTAATCTGCTCTTAATCCTACTGTTTTTCATCTCAGAAGTTATAATTTCATTTCTAAATGTTTAACTTGTACCTTTGTTATTTTTCCTCAAATGCTAACTCATTTTATTATTTCTTTTCATATATTTTGTAGGTGTGATAAAATATAACCAAGAAAATTCACTTTCAAAATTTTTTATGATTTGTGTACATTCTCAAAAGTTTTCCCTGATTAAAACAATCTTACTAAAATCACCTTCAGTTTTGCTTTTCTGTATTAGGCCTTTTCCTGTAACTGGGACAAAATACCTAACACTGGCAACTTAAAGGAGCTCAGGTTTATTTTGTCTCACAAGTTTGAGTTTAAACCATTATCTGCTGGGAAAATTTGTGCCCCAAACTATGAGTTTTCTGACAGATACAGTAGTGTCTACTGTGCAGTCCATCACTGGTCCGTTTATGGAAAGGGACATAATCTTGACCATTAACTAGACAAAACAAGTACAGACTGAAATTCTTGGCAAGAATAAAAAAAATCCTGATGAATTAGGAGGAAAAATCTGAGAAACAAAACCAGTAATTTTAAAGTTGAGGGCTAGTAGGAATTCATCAGAGAGGCAAGGAAAGAAATATTTCCAACATGAGTGTAAGAAGAGAAACATTATTAAACTGTTTTAACTCAACTTCTCTGTGAAATTCTCTGATCATTAATGGAAGAGCTACTCAGTAAAGGTTGGTTCCAAGAGCATTTGAGGAACTGAACATTTGTAAGTATTTTTATAAAGTTAGAATAAAGATTGACTTTGCACAAATTTTTAAAAGCAAACAAATTCTGAACAAACAATACTATTTTATGATATTTTTACTTATTTTCATAAGAAACAATTTTAGTCATTGGTTTTGAGTTCAGTGTTAGTGCCATAATCTCGTGTGACACAAGTAAATTATTGTATTTTGTTTTCTCATCAAGCACTTGGAGAATTTGTGTAACATTTGCTACAGGTAGCACATACTTATCAACAACTTGAGAAAAAGTACAAAGAAATCCATTTTGGGAAGATGAATGTTATTATATATTCTGGGTCTCTAGGACCTTTGGAAACTGGACAAAATTTAACTTTGTACAAGATAATGATAGCCGTGAGGAGTTGTAGAGATGATTTATCTTTCTTGGCAAAAGCAAATGCACAGCAAAGGAACTTGGAAGCTATTAGCTAAAGTGAAAGCACTGAATATATCAGATACCTAATTGTAGATATTATTTTAAAATTGTTTACCATATGGTATGTAAAATAAACATTATCTTGTGCATCCTTAAAATATTTTCTGGTACTTTCTATATTTTTCCTGAATGCTAATGATGCATATTATTTTGTAAATGGGTGCTCCTTTCTGCTTTAAGGGTGATAAATGGAGGTAACAGCAATTCCCCATGCTAGCATAGTCATAATGGGTTATGAGTAATTTTTATATTACAGTGTTAATATAATATGCAGTGTTATTTTCTTTCTGACATTGTGCTTGTCTTTGAGTTCCTAACTACTTTCACAAATATCACCGTTTGTTTTATGTACAAGAAACTCAATCACCTACATTTCTATGTGATGCTTCAGTAGGTGACAGGAAGATTTCATTTTCTTATTGTTCTTATCAACTTAGAAAAAAATGGATGAGCTGAAATAAAAAGAAAATTGAAGTAATATTGATAAGTAATCTTTTTTATGTTCCTTTTCCCTCATAGCTGAAGAAAGCCAATACACTTTGTAGGTCATCAATTGATACAGAATGTGATTTCAATGAATACTGCAATGGGAATGAGGGGGACTGTGTGCCTGATACTTATGCACGTGATGGAAGCCACTGTGACTCAGGGGAAGGCTACTGTTTTGGTGGAATTTGTCGGACTTTTGACAGACAGTGTGAAGCCTTATTTGGAAAAGGTAATGACTATAATTTTCTTTTTAGTTCCCAAAATTTGATTACTCCAGTCTATTATTAAAATCCATTTTTTAATTTCTAAAATTAAAAATGCATAATGGTTATATTCATCGTGGGGAGTTGGTACATGTAAATATAACATATCTTGATTCTTTTTACTTCTTCCCAATTCCTTAAGACAAAAATATAAACATAATTTATTATTGACTAAAGTCTTGCCTAATGTACATTAGTGTTAAAGGAAGTTGCAAGTTTTTTGATTCTGAAAAATAAAACAAAAAAATTTCTGAGTTTACATGGAATTCTTATTTGCAAAAGACAGAAATCTAAAGTGAAAACCCACCTTTTCACCATATTAAATAGAGGTTTACTTTAGACTTAAAAGAAGTACATTTTTAAAAAGCAAAGTAGGGCTAGTTACTGAGTATATGGGTCTCCAGGGGCTTGTTTATAGCTAAGGGCTTTAGCTCACCCAGTCCATCTTGATAGCTTCCTTTAAATGTGTGGATCATTTGCTTTGTGGAAATATACAGCTCCAAACATATGCAATACATGTTCTGTATGAGAGTGAAAAGTTTCCTTCTCAGTCTTCCTTTCAAGTTCTTTCTTTCTTTCTTTTCTTTTTTCTTTTCTTTCTTTCTTTTTCTTTCTTTCTTTCTTTCTTTCTTTCTTTCTTTCTTTCTCTCTCTCTCTCTCTTTCTTTCTTCTTTCTTCCTTTATTTCTCTCTCTCTCTTTCTTTCTTTCTCTCTTTCTTCTCTCTCTCTCTCTCTTCTTTTTTAACCCAGCTCATAGGAGACGCATCTAGGTATGGTCTAGATTGCTGAGACTCCCAGGAATTTAAGGAGGAGGTGAGATGGAGGTTTTGGTCACTAATATAGTTTTGTTCTGTTTTTTTATCAGAATTTTTATTTGTACTACCTGACAAGAAAATGACTATAGGTTAGCATTTGAAACATAATTAAGATATAAACAAATGATCATTACGATTAAGAAGAATGGAAAAATATACCAGATCTATGACCTAATGTTTCTCCAAGTAAAACCAGCTCAGTGCTGGCCAGACAGCAGGTTATCAGTCAGGTGTCCTACATGTTACATATCTTACTTAGCAATGATATTGCATGGTTTCAAAGCCCTCTGAGAGCTGCAGGGTATAGGTACAATAGCCTTCACCTCAAATAGCACTAATTTCTTTTTTAAGGCAAGCATGATATCTAAAGTGCGGTGATTTCAAACTACCTCCTCACTAACCCTAGTGACTCTGTAGTTTATGGCATGTAGTACATGATAAGTCAGTTTTTGTACTTATTTGTGGAAGACAATCTCACCTTGCAAGCCTCTTGGGGAGCTTAGGAACCAAAGAAGACTGTTGAAAAATTTCCCCAAAATTATAGTGTATTTTGATCTAAATTACCCCCAGTTTTTGATTGAGTCATCCATGGTCTGTCATGTCAACTAGAATGGTCCTTGAGAAGGATTTGATGTAATTGTGAAGTAGGCATTTGCTTTGGAAGATAAAATCTACATACAACTTATAGGTAATAGACAATGAAGTTAGTAGTATACCACAGATCTGATACCGATCATTGTGTTTCATCAAACTGTTGATTTCTGGCACAAATATGTATATGAGGTTTTAATATGCTTATATTAAAAGACATATCTTATGCATCAAGCCATAATATAGTAGAGAAATCTATATAGATGACAAGAACTTTAATTTTAAGTCAAAAGTATTTTTTTAATTACAATGGTAAAGGAAATACACCTCATGGGATATTGGCTCTTTCAAAAATTTTTTTACTTGTGATATCTGAAACCAAATATAGAAAAATAGCAAATATATGGTCCTGAAATACCCTTGATTCTTTGTTTTTGTTTTTGTTTTTTTGGTACTGGGAATCGAACTTGGGACCTTACTGCTTGCAAAGTAAGCAGTGGAACCACTGAGCTAAATTCCCAGCCCACCCTTGATTCTTAAAGTGGAAATTTTTTGACCTAGTCTCTATGCTGGGGGCCAATTGTCATCAAAAGAGACATATTTGGTGTTCCTATCTTGCTAAATTTCTGAGTTTCTTTAAAAATGTTCAGATGAATGTTTAAAATATTTAAGATCAATGTAAATATTATGTACTGCAAAATGGACTAAAAAAACCCAAATATTCAGCCAAAATATTAGAGTGTAGTGGCTGGATATGGTGGTGCACGCCTGTACTCCCAGCATTCGGGCAGCTGAGGCAGGAGGATTGCCAGCTTAATTGAGGGCAGTGTGGGCTACTTAGTGAGTTTAAGGCCAGACTGAACTACATAGGGAGACCTTATCTCAAAAAAAACAAAAAAAGAAAAGCTAGAGTGTCCAGATTTAAGATTCTCATCCCAATTTATTTTTTCTTGCATCTCTTATTGGGGATTTTATACAAAAAGAGATAGCAGGGCTCCCTTCATTTATGTTACTGCATAGTACCTATGGAGAATTTTTCTAAATCAAAGAAATTTATAGATTAATTGTTACAGGTCTATTGCCCTGGACAGTAGATGAATAATAAAATAATGATGGAGCCGAGGATTTAGCTCAGTGGTGCCGCACTTGCCTCACAAAAGCAAGGACCTGAATTTGACCCCCGGTATCCCCCACCCCCAAAAATGACAAAAACAAAT